AGAGAGAGAGAGAGAGAGAGAGAGAGAGAGAGAGAGAGAGAGAGAGAGAGAGAGAGAAAGAAGAGAAATTGAGAAAAAAAAGAGGATAATGTGAAGTAAAGTTTAGAAAAAGAGGCAGAAAGGAAATGGAGGGAGAGACACAGAGAGAATAAGGAAGGCCATCAGACAGTGCAGTAACATGTAATGGCTCTGATGCTGTATCTCGATTTATCATAGCCAGTCATTCCTCGCGGCCATACTCTGAGGAATATACTCTCAGATGGAAGGTTGGTGAGTTGCTATGGGATCCAGGTCTAAGTGTGAGAGGGGCCTGCTTGCAAGTGTGTGAGAGGGTGAATGAGTGAAGAGGAGAGAGACAGCCAGCATTCACGTTTATTCTCGGCTACGTTTGCCACGTCATGCTGCACCGTGACAACAGTTACTCTCAACAGATGTTTGGCTCCGTGTCATCGCATGACATTGCACATAATGTTTTCAGGCCAAATGCCTCACACTCACAAGGGCTTAGGATTTAGTGTTTGTTTATTGCTCTGCACGGACATGCTTAAGTCTCTACTATGCATTGTCATCCCAAAAAAAGGGAGAAAGATAAGGCTGTGGGTGGAGGGAGGGCGAGCGGGGGAGATGGTGTGTGAAGTGGGTGTGTTCTTACCTAACCGTGACCTCATCAGTGAACCTAAGCACACGGTGAGTAAGGATGCTACGAGGCATGGTGCTGCCCCCTTCCTGCCTGAGGGGCGGCTTTCTCTTTTGGCATGCGGGGAGGGTGGAGCTGTGCGCCAGAGCACCGCCCACAAGAGGTGGGGAAAGACCCGCGTGCAAAGGAAGGCAAAGGAAAACAAAAATGACACATGCAACTGACAGAAATATGTAGAGGCAAAGTACTGTAAGTGAAGGGGAAGATAACACAAGCATGAAACTATGCAGGCTACATTCAGCAACATTCACATTCTCACATTATGGCGCAATTCATATTACCATATTATGGCGCAACAAAAAATATGGTTTTCTTCTCAACTCCCAGTTCACAAAAAAAAAAAAGATTGGATAGCTTTAGATTAGAAATGTGTCTGCTGGTGATCAACGGAAACACCACACACAGCAAGTCACTAAACGAACACATGAGATGAATGAAGTGCATCCTCCCATCTGTGACATCAGAGTGAGGAATTCATTATGTAAGAGTGAAGAGATAGTTCCTCTTGCCCTCCCTGTGGATTGAACCCACACACATATATGAGGAGATTACATGTAATGCTGATTATATAACACAATCTACAGATCTAAAGCCGTCCAGGCGGCACGTGGCAAGGAAACAAAGCTACGGTAGATCTGTAAAATGTATAGGAGTGCCATGAATAGGATTAGAGCAGAACAGAGAGAACTGGAGGAAATTGCTTATACAGGAGGTCTGTCTGTCCGGTGGTTATATGGTGATCATCAAGTGTGCTGGATTTCAATATGCACTAATATGCAAGGATCAACATCTGATGCATACGTTAAAGAGCAATACTGGTGGTTTTGCATGTTTTAGCCCATTAACTGCAATCACATATTCCTTCCATTTTGCTGACCATTTCCAAACCATTACATAAGTCTGACAAATCCCAGGCATTACAACAGTAAGGAGTATACCAACCACTTAGTATTGTATTTACATAAAGTCTGGGGTACTCGCAAGAGATAGTCTTCTCAACTTTAGTTCCTAATATAGTCATACAAATAAACATTTTCCAAATGCCAAGCCCGTAGTTAGTGACTAAAGGTTTGAAAAGTGATGGCAATGCCAAAGTGCCTTAAACTTCATTGACATTATTCATTGATTTATTGCTACAACAGTGTTTAGCATTCGGTTGCATTAAAAGACACTTAAGGAGTCGGCTGTTCAATTTTATGCGGTGAGTACATTTTCTTTTAAGCATTTTTTCCGCTAGCAAAAAGTAGCATCCCAATTAATATCACATTTAACGTTGTAACGTCAAGTATGTATGAACCTTTCCAACCAAGCTAGTTAGCTAGCTTTAGCCGGTAAGTTAGCATTTGCTATGCTATTGGTACTTGACCCAGGATTCAGTCCCATGGGAACCATGAGGAAACTGGGAATCATGAATGTCTGTACAAAATGTTTGCCACTAGCCTGACTAGTAAACAACTGCATCAAAAATGTGTGGTGATCAGTGTGTATCAATAATGTTTCGTCGTTGTTCTTGGTAACTTGACATCCCAGACTTGAGATTCAGCTAACAATGAAACAGAAGTGACCATATATTCATAGTCGGTATTGTTTAGCTTGAAGGTTTGATTATTTGATAATATAGTTTGGGAAAGCAACACTTTAATTGCTCTCTTGGCCATCATGACATCGATGACTTCCGGTTCTCAACTGCTACCTAAAAGGCAGGAAAAGTGTCTAAAAAGTATTTGTGATTTGACTACAACATGTGAGAGCATGAGTATGGTCCTTTTAAAGGGTTGTATAATACAGAGGGGAAAGCAACACCATTTAGTTAGCTCAAGTGGCACCATGACAAAGCTACATGGCACACACTCTGACGAAAGCAAGCACAAGCAGCACAGTGGTCTGGGCAACATATGGGCATTTATTGCATTGAGAGAACATTGCTGCAACTAAATGACCCACCAACTCCACAAATGAGTATGGGAAAGCTGGAAAGGCACAGAGAAGGGTAGGCAAGTCTTTTAATGCTAAATGCTTACCTGTAAATGTCTTTATGGATACCATTTACTAACAGGGGCATTTTGGGGGGTAGTGTGTTGCTGTATCTACCTATGCCCCTGGTTGTGTAAGTAGAGTTCATGCATCGTAAAGCATGGCAAGAAAAAAAAAGTGGAAAAAATATACAACTGCTGTGAGTGAACACATCAAATTCAAATACAAGAAATAAATAACAGAAATTAATCAAAAGAGCTTTGCCTTCTTTGAGGTCAACCACCGAGCAGGTCTCTAATCCCCTCACACAGTGATCAGCATGTTGTGTGTGTTTTTATGAGACAGTTGTGGCGATAGACAATCGTCAGACATGAATTTGAATTTATGAGCATGTTACTACTGCTTGATCCTGATGTGGAACTTTAAATTCATGTGGTTGCATGAGCAGACATACACTCTACAGTACAGTCCATTTAAGATACAACACACTGTCTGCATTGAAAATATCAACATTAATTGTGTTAAGATGAAGTTGTTAAAGTATAGTGGGAATGGAAATGGCGATAAAATGGCATATTTTATTGAAATAAAGCTGAATGGTGGTTGTTGTCTTTTTTATTATTATTTTTACCTGTTCGTATGCAGGCACTCGGCACTCCCGCCACGGATAGACCTGTGCATCTCCAGGACCTCACTGTCATTGCCATGACGATGGGTGAACAAATGACAAACAACCCGAGAAAACACAACAGAAGAGGATGGCAACTCAGACAGGCAAAGTGAATTTATGAATGAGAGAAACCAGGAAATCATAATTCTGAGATTTCAATTCAATCTGCATTCATGTTGCAATGGCTAGTTTCACATTGTTAGTAGTATTAGTAGAAATTAGTTTGGCAACATCACATTGCTCATATTAATTAACCCAAACATGACTCAACCTTTATAAAACAGAACTAAATATGTACAGGCTCCATAAGCACTTAATTTCTGCATGATGAAGACCAGAGCAGCGGATTGACCCCACTAGGAGCACTGATCCAATGTGTGGGCATCTTATTCTTGAAGGGATGGTTTGGATTTTTTTAAGTGGGGTTGTATGAGGTACTTATCCAGTGTATTTACCTACAGTGGATGACGGTTGGCATGCCTCAAGTTTGGAGAAACAGACATGAGTATCAGCACAGAAGCAAAGCAATGTACTGCTGTGGACAGAAGCATCAGCAAAACATATTTTAGCCACCTAAAAAAAATCAATATCAGTTTACGCTATATTTAGAATATTTCCACCACATTACCTTGCCGTCAAGCAGCCCTTTCTGAAGGGGAATTGAAGGTGTTATCTTTGCTCTGTTCAAAGCCGCCAGTCTCAGTTCACAACAGCAGCTATTTTTTTGCAGAACACAGGAGTTGCTGGTCTACCGCTGCTTCAACCGATGCTAACACAAACTAACTAACTAATGGATGCAGCGGTAGAACTGCAACTCTTGTGTTCTGCAAGTGGAAATGACTGTTTTTGTCAATGGAGTCTTTTTGGCTTTGAAGAGAGCATAGATGGATATAACGGCTTCGGTGCCCCGTCGAAAAGGGCTGTCTCACGGCAAGATAAAGCGCTGAAAATATTCAAAATATATCATACGCTTAAAGTGATTTTTTTTTGGTGGCTAATATATATTTTGCTGCTGCCCCACAGCAATACATTAATTTGCTCTCATGCTAGTACTCCTGCCTGCTTCTCCCAACTGGGGGTGTGCCGCCCGACATGTAGTCAGCTTCCACTGACTAAGAACCTCATACAACCCCACTTCAAAAAATCCAAACTATCCCTTTAAAATAATTTTTAACAAGTAGAAAGTCAACTAAAACATATTCATAACCCCATCCCATAACCGTAATGATCCCCAGATTCTCCAGATACCAACAACAGGTTACCTGTCCTCAGAGTACTCGTAGTCCGAGTCACCCGAGCGTTGGTGCTCTAAGTGGGAGTCGTGGTAGCGGGAGGTGGAGTGGGAATGGTGGCTGTTCTGGTGGATCTCATCCAGGCTCCTGAAGAAATCAAAAATATCTAATGAATTTATGTTTTTTTATTTTGGTATATAAATCTTGGTCCATAGTGATTCTGATGATTCAATATGTCCACCCTTACTTTTGGTTTGATCTGACACAATATGAACAAACACAAAACAATTTGTGTTATTTCAGCAAAATGAGGAGCAATGCAGATGTCGTGGTGTTCTCGCCTGGATTCTGGTTCGAAATGTGAGGTTTTCAACAAGAATAAGAATGCAATTTCCGCTTGACAATGTTATTAGAATTACATAGCATACAGGCAAAAACACACCTTCACAAAATAACTGGTCTATCATAATGCTGTTTTCATCCACAAATTATTACCAATTGCTTCCACTTGGCCTTTTTTTCCCCCCTGTTAATGCACCGTCAATGAAACTCAACACAGGTACACATTAAAATCATTCCAGTGGCTCAAAGGGCATGATCGCTCCCTTTCCCATTTAATTAATTCATTCATTTTTCTAATTTGAAACAGACAGAAAATGTTGCGTTTCATTGATTGTAGCATAACATTCACTGACACAATGGAAAGGAGGAGTGATTGAAAATAATTTATGAATACAGGATTTCTATTTAAAAAAAGTAAAGTGGTCAGTATTCTATTGTTGTACTGATGGAAGTAGTACAATGGTAATGTACATTGTACTAAGTTAACAATGTGAGCCATTGTAATACAGCTACATCCGACCCTCATGTTTTTTGCCTGGGTCATTATTAGTGACAATGCTGGCCACGTCTCAACACAGTCATTTACAATAGGCCTAACCAGTCCTTGAAAAGCAGAACTACTGAGGAAGTGACAGCATTTCTATAAATTAGACCGATTGCAAAATGTGATAACAGCATATAACCTCTGCTTATTTTTGGTTGACATGGCTCAGTCTGGTTTGCTGAAATATGTAAAGTTCACTCTATAATTAAATATCTGTGAAGAAATATAACTGAAGCTAATAATGATCAACCCCCCTGCACAATACGTCACTAGATGTGTGATGTAGAGGGAAAAAAAGATTCAAAGGAAAGAGATACTAACAGAAAAATGTATTAATTTATATTCTGTCCTGCTTCCCTGCGTTTATGTAGATCCCAGACGCGTCCCATCTCATACGAAGACCCATGGACAAATGTATTGTTGATATATTTGAATAATAGACATGCTGGCTTTTACATATTTGGCTACCTCCAGCTAGCAGAAGAGTTAATAACATTGTCACGCCAACAGCCATAAACAGAGACGTGTATTATTTGGTAGTGATTTGGTCATAAAGTAGTGAGATTAAAAGCCTTAATAAATACATGTTAACAAGCTGCATCAATTCCCTGTCAGGGGAACCGTGTAGTATCAACACTCACACTGAATGAGACTGTTGCAGACCACACAGTAACCTGATTAAAAAGCTAGAATGTTAAATGTTTGGAGAAGTGATCTGGTATGCATTATTGAGACTCTACATGGATATTACCTTTACAAAACACTGAGATCTGACTAACCTAACCCACTGACTACCACTTAGATACCTACTGATGCTAGAATATTGTTAGACAACACACACTCCACTGGCAGTTCACCAGGTTGTTCTGGCAGGTGTTGCTGACCTTTGCATGGGCACGTGTGCAGGCCGTGACCGAGCCCTGCAGGAGTCCTCTCTGTGGGGAGACACTGAACGGGATCGGTGCTGGACGGGCCGCTGCTGCTCAGGCACAGCCAACGTACTGCCCCGCTCTCTCTCCCTGGAGTTACGCTCTGCACCTACACACACACACAGGACACACACACCCACACACACACACACACACACACACAAAGATCCAGCACGGATGCATCCCACACACAAGGGCAAAAGAAAGCAGAATTCACACATATACACACACACACATTCATACAACCAGATTTGTCGATTCACGGATACACACATAGAAACACACAGAAACACACACACACATCCAGGCATTAGGTGTGTGTCCTTTGATAAAGATGCACCAGTTGTCAGCTACTGACTACTACTACAGATGCCATTCTCTTACAGAATGTAGAACATCACATTAGGATGTTTTACAGGCAGATGACTAGCTAGCAAACAGGTTAGCTATCATGTGAGCTAGCCTGAGTAGCTGACTGTTTCTGCAATGTCAGACCTGAGATCAGTGAGATTTGCATCTCTCAGTTGTTGTTCCTGCTTGGAGAGCCAGACTTGGTCGCAAATGAAACTGCTTAATCAGTACAAAAGATGAGCAACATTGACAGAAACTATGTAGTTCTTTGATAAATAAAGTCAAGGAACAAGCCTGTGTACATGAAAACTACACCTCCCAAGATGCTATTCGGTAACAAAAATGTTCTCCCCAAGCTTAAAATTCTGATATATACGTCAAGCAAAAAGTAGAGCTACTGCTGTTGTAAAAAATGGTGACACAATCTATGGCTTAAATGAGCTCTCTTTTGGATTCTGGGTGAATTGCGGATGAATTGAGAAACTATGGCATGTTTTGTTCAGAAACAACAACGAGGAATTTTTGATTTTGCAACAGCTCTAATTAATGCACATCTGACTGGCTTCTTTTCCATAGCAATTGTGGCAGCGGCTCATGGGTATTGTAATATTTAGAGCCAATTGCTATGGCAAACTAAAGTTGACAACTTGATATTTCAGAGATTAAATTACTTATATTAACATAAACTTGCTTTATAGCATTATTACATCATCACATTTTTGTGTGAAGGAGAATTAAAGATATAATTAAAAGAAGCAAGAGAAAAGGGTTAAAATACAGAACCGACAATTCCTCCCACTTCCCAACTCTACTTTATCTGTATATCTATAGGATCAGATGTAGCATATCATAGTATAGTGCACATGCACAAATGTGTCAAAAAAATGTAGAAATATGTTCACATGATTACAATCTGAGCTCAGTATTTGCATAAGAACAAAAATAAGCATATTGATGTTCAAATAAGTCAGAGATTGTGTAACTCTCTAACACTAACCTCCTCAAACCATCTGGCATGTGGAAAACGCCAAAGCGAGCTATTAAAAGTTATGACTATTTAATAAACCAGATCCACATTCATCTGACAGGAAATTAAGCCACAGCAGAAACAGTCAAACAACAAAGCAGTTGTAGTGATTCTATTGGCCAAAATAACACATATTAAGCTTCTACTGTACATGTTCAGTGTCCTTTGCATGCAGGAGAATGGCAGGAAACTCAGTGGAATGGCAGTGAACAACTGTAGCTCTACAGTCTAACATGCACTCAGTGCTTCAGTGTTTCTACGGCCCAGCAGAAGAGGAGAAACTGTTCACTGCAGCCTCGGGGAACTACAGTGCACTGCTAAACTGCAACACTGTAAAGGCTGCACACTACAAAGCTGCAATTCAAAATCTGCAGTCCAGTAGCAATATGATGAATTGCAAAAGGTTTGCTTTTCGCTAATAGGGTAAAGGTTAATTACTTTGATTTGGGTGCAATTTGTTCTAAAAAATACAGCGGAGCCAAAAGGAGGCCAGAGGATGCAAAGAAGACGCTCTCTCACCCAGTGCTGGGCCCCTACTGGCTAATACAAGCAAATGCTCAGTAACCATGCCCCCCACCCACCTTTAGTCACTACCATCAAACCATCATCAAACTCTGTATCAATGATGCGATGAGACCCTGTACACATACAGTACACACACGCACACACATACACAAACAGGACGGGGTAAGGTTGAGAGGTTCTGTTGTTAGTCTCCCACACTGAGAGACACAAAAGAGAAAGCTAAGCAAAGGAAAGGTTAGCAACCACGCACTCAGTAGCACTGTAGGTTCACAAAACAGGGATTAAATCATACATACACACACATATTTATATATACACACACAGCCTATAAATAAACAGTATTTAATCAGACATACTCTGTAGTTTCTTGCTGGGGCTGTCTCCATGGACGTGTCTGCGTGGGAGGTACGGGGAGGGCTGGGGCAGAGGTATAGAGGACATGTCATGCGTTTGGAGTTTATACCAATGAGGAATGTCATCCAGCAGGGCCGTCTCCAACTCTATCAGGATCTGAGAGAGGATAGAGAGGTTTAATGGTTGTATGATAAACATATGTTGTCATTGTTAACACTCCCATGGCTTTATTATAAATTCTAGTCAACATCCCAAGGTGTACATGACATGAGGCTCTCTGGTGACCTAGAGGTTTTAAGGGGCCAGTGTGCAGGATTTAGGGGGATTTGTTCGCAAAGTAATATTTAGAAATATATTTTCATTAGTGTATAATCGCCTGAAACTAAGAATCGTATTTTGGTAAGGTTAAAATGACTCCTTCATATCTACATAAGGAGCAGGTCCTCCTCACGAAGTCTGCCATGTTTCTACAGTAGCTATAAAGGCGGTGATCATGTACAAATGTAAAATCTTCAGTAAAGTGCTGGAAAAGCAGATATGATATGATACACAATATACTACATATGTAACATAACAGTATACATTCTATTCCTATTGACTGTCCAATCCAGAAAATCACAAATTTGTTAGCAATTTTACAAAAAACTGTAATTTAGCCGCAACAGCTCCAGCAATAAATATTTGCATTGTAAAAATAATGTATGCATATCATGCGTGTCCCACCTCTCCCAGGAATTCACTCTCCTCCTCCTGGACTCTGGGCTGGTCCCAGACTGTGATCTCTAGCATGCGTTCTCTGAAGTCCCGCCGGTGGACGTGGGAATATAGGAAGGTCTGGTTCCACTTGGGTTCAGCGTTCTTCTTCACTGTTTTCGTCCGTCGTTTACTCTTATCACTAACAAAGGCGTGAACACACGGAGTATAAATTACAAGAGGAAGGCATGTTTCTGAAAATGACTTTAAAAGACAATAAATGATATGTTGAAATGATTCATGCTGCAAATCAAAACTACAAGCAGACGTGTTGATTATATTCCTTACTGCTGGTATAGTGATCTTTTGCTGGTCATTACTGTAGTACCGTACATGTGGGATGGACCCCAAAATAAGATACATGACCTTACCTCCTATCAGGCAGGAAGTACATCTTGACATAGGGGTTACGAGGTCGTCCGTCTAATCGGGGTGGCAGGTCTATGGCTTGAAGGACGTTGACGATCAACTGATGGCCCACTTTGTCGTACCACAGCTTCACCTGTAAAAATGTGTGAAGACCGTTAGCCTCTATCCATGTCTGTATCAATTCACATGAACCACATACCTCTGTCTCAGCCCAACACCTTCTCACTCCCAACTTGTCACATACGGAGTTTGGTCGGGACTCCTTGGTGTTGATTTCTAAACACACTGGGTATGCTTAATCAGCATGCAGATTAAGTATGTGACGTACAAGATGTAGCTTCAGTAAGATATGTTACTATTTGGTTAGGATTAGGCAACAAATATACTTGGTTAGGATTTTTTTTAAATCATGGTATAGGTTAAAATAAGTATGTTTGTTACGTAACTTAAATTACATATGTAAACTAAGCATGTGGCGTGAATTACGTAAGTGAAGCAAATTTATATAAGCCAACATTGACTTTTAGTTTCCCATGGGACACGAACAGCGGTCTCCTGGGTGAAAATCCTGTATTTGTTCCTCTTCTGTAGACTAGTGTCCCCTGACTTCTTCTTTTCTCTGGTCATTATTAATACGCCATCTAAAGGCAGCCTTGCACGAGCAACACTGAGGCTAGAGGGGTACGTGGAGCGTCATAGTTTGACCACTGACTAAGCTGCTGTATTTAATGAGTTGGGAGTGAACACAGGTGGCTCAGTCCTGTCCGGATACTCACAGAGAGCTGTCCAGGCAATACCAGAGGAAGGTCTCGAAGGGTCCCTGGGCTGGTAGGAGACATCACTGATATAGAGGGTCGGTCCATCTTTTGGGACTCAAAGGAACTGGAGCCGGCTGTTATAGAGATCACCAGTTGTTAGAAATCAGAGGAAAAAACACAATCAACTCCAAAACTTAGAATTAGAGCATACTTTGAAATGTAAAGAGTATATTTCTACTGCATTAGCAGTAAACAATGTTAATGGCATAGAGTATATAGCCAATAAAGCTGCACATATTAACACTTACTAGATTCTAGAGGAGGGTGAGATGACTCTGGGATTCTTGGGATGTCTCTGTAAAAAGAGTCAGTGAATTATTCAACTTCAAATGTACATGATATACTTCAATACACTTGAAATGTCAAAGTCAGGACTTTAGTGTGCATTCATCTTTATAAAATGAATGAGTAAAAGACTCATGTCAACATACTACAGTTGCATGGCAGAAGAAGAGCGAGCAGTCAATCAAATACACGTTTACATGTCAGACACGTAGGGTAGTAGAGGAGAGAAGGATAGCTGGAAAAAGGGATTCATCTCTTGGATCTCAGGATTTCAGGGAAGGCATGAGGGGAAAGGGCTCCACCCATTAAACCAGCACTACTTACTGATATGCTCTATACACTTTTCTCAAGAAGTTTTTGGACATAATTCGGTTGATAGAGCTTTGAGATAAAGGAGGGAGACATATTGAAAGTGTCTGTCAATGCCAACTTTTAAGTACTTTATTGATGATTTTAATATATTGAGAACGTTAATCTTACCCAATAGGTCTTGAAACAACTATTTCCACTTGAGGTTCGGCCTTGGATTCAAGGATAATGTTGTACACTTCTTTCTTAGTTGCTCCCGGTAACGACTTTCCATTCCACTGCAGCACCTCGTCACCTGGAACCAAGATAGCCAAAACACACATTGATGCTCCAGCTTGACCCCCATCTGGCAGCATATTTGACTAGAAAAAGCCAGGTACTACCGGAGAATTGTCAAACTGAAATATTAATTCTCCTCATGTGACAATAAAAACTATAATGCTAATGCAGCTATTATCAAGGAGGATCAAACTGTTTTTGGAAATGTTTGTGGAAATTACCAGCTTCAAGCCTGAGTGGGTGCTTCTTTTCGCAGTGGTTGACATCTGAAAGCTGACTTTGCTTTCGCCAGCGCACTACCGTCTGGAGAATGACAGACTGTGCCTTGTTTAACGTACAAACGTTGATACAAGACACTTTTCCCATGTCCCAAAAAGACCACATATTTGAAAGTCTTTGCCCCCTGTTAACACAGGTGTGTGCCTCCCTTTGTGTGCGACAAGCTGGAGAGCAAACATTTTTGACCGCAGTGAAAACGTTATTTTTGAAAGGCTAAACACCAGCAAATACGGATTGAAACAGAACATTTTGTTAGATGAAAACAGAATGTGAATTTTAGAAGTGATTACGTCTATCTTTGAATAAATGTTGGCTTTTGGGTATTAATAACGCTCTGGAGTTATTGGAAATGTTTGGATCACACAAGTCAGTAACAATCCTAAGCAGCCAGCCCTGGAATTCTACAAAAAGTATAATATTGATAATATTAGTGTAGCTTACTCTTTATTAATCAGTAATATAGGGAGTGCTCCAATCACAGATAAACAATGGCTAAGAAATGTCGTCTTGTTAACTGCCTGTGTGTCTATTTTTGGGGTCCACCACCACACAGATATATACATGCTACGTAAAGTACAGTAGCTGCTGCATAGTTCGCACCTGCTCGTAGGTGTCCCACAACATCTGCGAGGCTGCCTTTCTTGACTTTGGTGATGAAGGCCCCGAGTCTCCCTGTCTCTGTCATCTTCCCTCCTACCACCTGCACACAAAGGAGAGAAAGGAGCAACAGAGGTTCATGTTTGTATTTCCTTGTTCTCTGCACGATTCAGTAATTGCTCAACTGGCAATATTCTACATATTTGTGTTGTGTTGTTTGTGGAATACTCTTTAACTTTAAATGTTTGTAGCAAGTACACCACACAGCTTTTACAGGAGTTACAAAGCATCACTATAGAGGGCTAAAGGAGTGCGTCCTAAAACCCGTAAATGAGTAAGCATCTATGCACTTCCGGTTCCCTCGTCTCAAGGTCAATGGGTTTTTTTAATGGGTTTTTGGTTTTAATGCCTAAATTAAAATATGTGGTTAACACAAGCATAAGACATTTTAATGTTTTGTTCTATGACATAAAATACATCAGGAAATATCCCTCTCTTGATTTTTGAAGCTTTAACATGCCTTAAAAAAGGTTGCTAACAAATGAGACTACTAAACGTCATCATGCCCACCATTTGTCAGCCTTCAGCTTTGTGGTGGTGACGAAAAGTCACGTGACCGTGGTGTAGTTGGTTTATAGCCTAATGTTAGCTTTTTACTTCTGCTGATTGCATTTACACTTCAAAATTCCTAAAAGATTGGTGTTCATTTGTGAGAATTAAGTATCATAAACGTTTGTTTGCCATGGAGCGTATTTTTTGCAAAGATCCAAAATCCCATCGGCTTTTCATCAAGTGAACCAGAGCGATGCTAACTTCTGGTCGGCCTCCAAAAACATTTCATCCCTGTCGCCCTTTTTCCAAGTTTGAACTCATCGAGCACTCAACCGAAGTTAAAACAAACACTAACACATTAATTACAAGCTAATTGCAAGCTGGGTTTGAACCAGGTCTGAATGATTAAGTGATTCCCTGCTTACTTTTAGGCCGAGGAGGGAGCCAGCCTCGCGGGGCATTGCAGACCTCTTACTTAGTGTGATGCGTCCGATTAGGTGGTCACCCTCTTTGGACGGCTGCCATGTAACTGGATGCTATGGAAAAAGTTATGAGACATTGTGAAGGAGGGCAGGGAAGAAAAACAGAGAGGAGGGAAGAAAATGGTAAATGTCTTATAATATAATTGTATGGAAACATTATTCTTTTGATTTGATTTTTATTAATTTACTGAATAATTTGTGTGTGTGTGTACGTTACGAGAAGTAAAGAGCAGAGGAAGCATCCTCTCTGAATCTGTCGTGTTTTTATGAAACTTACATGCCACACTGTAGGATCTAAAGAATGGCAGTCCCAGTCACCTGCACGAAGAAAGACAAAGACAAAGACAAAGAGGGTTTACTTGACCTCTGCCAGTATTGTTAATGTACAGTATAGATGTACATGTACTCTATGGTTTCAAAAGATAACTTTCATATTAACCAAAGAAACATTTTGACACAGTTTGGGGCAATGTTGTCTCTCTTTGACTCCCTTTACACCTTGCATTAAAAATGCATATGCATATCCCGATTATACCTGATAACATTAAAACCCGGTCTCTCTAGTGACAGTGTCCACTTTGAAATCTGATCACTCTGTCCAGCTTTTTCAAAATCTTAGCTGAAATGCACAACCTAATTCTATAAATACTTTAAATTTACTTCACAAAAGTAAAATCATAAAATATATTCATAAAATATCATAAATATCATAAATATTACACAAACTGCCTCTCTATCAATGTTCTTTGCCGACACCAAAAACTATCAATAGCTTCAACCTCAGATCATACGAATAAATAAGATTCGTCATTCGAAGAAGAGAGTGCGTTTTTGAGTTTTTGGACCCTCATGTTGGTGTGAGCTACAGAGACATTTTAAACTAGACTAATAAGCAGGTACGATTTTAAAAACAAGATTAAGGATTATTTGAGTACAGAATGTACTTGTCAATTTTTGGTTGACGCACTTTCCATATTGTCTTTTATGTGAAATTCTTAACTTGTTTTAAAAGTTTTGTTTTTTAAGTGTGTTATTTGTGTTGTAAATTAGATTCATCATCCTTGCTAGATTAAGTTTCAATTTTAAAAAATACACAAGAAAAATATATAATTTATCAGGACTTCTAAAGAATCAAAAAGACATAGAAGTTATACAATAACAGCAGCCACTAAAAATGTCATGACAGAACTGCAGCTAAAAAAAAAACATTCATAATCAAACTTATTCACTGCCTTTCCAAAACTAATGCCAGAGCCTGATCAGGGACAAAGACACCAGTGACTGTCAGAGTATCCCAGCTCTCATTAACACTGACAGATGGTCGGCTCGAGTAGAAGAACTAACTGGCCCAGAATCAGACCAGAGAGGCCTGTGAGATTTGTGGCCACTTTTCCACCACAGGTACAAAAACAACAGCAAGATGACATCAGATGGGGATTTAAAAGACTCTGGGGAACTTCAGATTCAATGGAAGTTTCCAGTAAAAGAGAGCAGGAAAGGACAGAATCAAGCCTAAACTTCATGGGATAAACTATGGAATACATGCACTGCTGTTTGTCAAAAACACTTTCAGTAATATTCAATGAGAATCAAATGAAAATGACTGCTCTGGAGATCAGAAATTCTGAAAAAGTGTTGACATGACTCTAGTGCTGTTAATCTGAAATCTGAAAGTCCATTGAGAATGCTTGAGAGAGAGAAATGCTGACTCCACAGTTTGAACTGCTGAGTAGGGTTTTTTTGTTTTGGAGAATGAACATGCTGGGCAGATTACAAAAACTGGGCTGCTCTTCTAAATGATGCCACATCAAAGCATCAGCTCTGTGCAGGTATTAACATAGTATTGTTCTTGATAAACTGTGTGTGTGTGTGTGTGTGTGTGTGTGTGTGTGTGTGTGTGTGTGTCATTAAGCCTGTCCTCTGCAGCTCTATCTACTATTTTACAAGCTCAACAAAATCCCTCCAACATTGTATATATAAAATATCTCAACACCACATGATCTTGAACTCCTGTCAACCTGTTTGACACGCTCACCTACCTTCATGACCAACACATTCTCACCTACTCCTCTAGCCCTCAGTTTGTTACACGCATCAGTCTTTTCAAAATGAACTTCCTTCTTTTAAAGGAAACCACTTAGCTTTAACAAAAGAGTGTGGATGAGAGTGTCACTGACTAACAACACACTTGACAAAATGTCATCTTTAATTTTATTTTCGCACAGGACACTAAAAGTGGTCTCCTGGATGAAATTCCTGTGTTTATTCCTGTGTTTAAAGTTATCCCAGTAATTTACGGGGAACTATGTGTGAAAGAGGATTAAGGAATAGAGCTGTGTCACAGCTGACAACAAAGATCTGTACCATCGTCGAATCGCCTAAGACCATGAATGGTCAGCATTTATATTTAGTTTTTATTAATTTGAGGTGGGTTACAGTCCAACACATATCCCTATCTTTCAGTAGTGAGACTGTTACACTTTAATTACAGTCACATAGTATGATATCTCATAAACACCCAGACCATCTCTTGACACCAAAGCTTCTGTTGCTGTCAGACTGTCACGTCTAGCCAAAATAATGTAATCAGCTGACACAAACCATTTCAAATGACATTTCTTATTTGAAAAAATATATATACTTGTCCTTGCATTACCATCTCACTCAACCTATATAGGGAAACACGCTGCACATTATCCGGCAAAACTTACTTCATGCCACAGATGAGAGGAAAAGGCGGAATCCTGTTTTGAGGCCCAGCTAGCTAAAGAGTGTTTAAAACAGCTAATAATCCCAATCCACACCATCTACCCATTACCAGTCCCTGAGTTTGAGTAATCTGGATTAAAACATCTGGAACAGGCTCCTTCTGTGACCAGTGAGAGAGATAAGCTGACAAAGCAGAGCTAACTCTACCTAGCTACTGCCTCTTGAACTTAGACGCTCTCCCTTGGCTTTTAGCAGAGCCTAGCATCGCTTCTCTGACAGTGGTGAGCTGCAAAATACATAGGTATCGAGAAGCCTGCGGTGACCATGCAGCATGCAACCACAGCGAGGCTTAACCACAGTTTGCAGCTGGTGGTCCATGGGTTGCTGGTGCAGCTGGCTGTTTGCCAAGCATTACATAGCATGCGAGCCACTGACCTAATTCCACAAATCTGCTGGCCTAAATCACAGGGACTCTTCAAATAAATGAGAGCTGTCCTGGGAGCGGCAGGGTTTAGCCACAGTACAGAGGTGTAGATGACACACAGTGATAGTAATTCACTGTATGCTGGGTGGGTCCTTCATCTTATCACTTATCGTATAGTTTTACAGTCCCAAATTAGAATGTGCTGGTATTAGAATAATCTACTGAGCCAAAATATCTCCCTGCTTCTTTTTTTTTTTTACACATTATAATAATTCTACTACCAAGGCTATTTTAAATGCTAACGCTAGGAAAGAATAGCCATGAAGTGTGGGAAGAGGAAAGACGTTGCAATGTAAAGGAGCTTCATCATGACACTTATTTTATTCAGCTGTTTTAGGATAATTTAATCTTTATGTTCATGAAAAGTTCATGTTCATTTGTCCAATCATTTAATCATGATCTTTATATTCTTCAGAGTATTAGCTGCAGGTCAATTTCCCACTACAATTAGCCATCAAACCTGTGACTCTAATGATGCGCACGCTGCACTGGGTATACAGTAGGTAGTGCAGGCAAGGCCTGAAAGCGGTCTTCAGCGACAAGATAAGATAGGAATACAACATATGCAGAGATCAAAGGTGCGAGAGTGAGCACATCTGTCTGACTGACCTTTCTCGCTGACGCTTTCCATGTCCACGTCCTCACAGCTGGTGTACTCGGGCGTGGAGCCGCCTTCCTCCTCTGAGCTGCTGATGGACATCTGCCTCTTGTTGACTCCGCGCTTGCTCTTGTATGACCGTGGAGGGGGCGGCCGCAAAGACTCCGACTGGTCCGAGCTCTGAGAGTCCTTCCTCAGCAGGCTATCCCCACCCTTGTCCCTTAGTGTCCGTGTTGTGCCGGGCTCCAGGCGGCCTTTGTTCGGTCCCCAATCTGGAGGCACCGGTCCCCCAGGTTGAGGTCCTGATCTCACTCCACCTCCTGCAGGTTGAGCTCCCCCTCCAACCCCCACGGTCCTATCCACAGAGAAGGCTCGGTGGTTCTCCAAGACGGCCTTGTGGTCTCCCTCCCCACCTCCACCCCTCCTGGCCAGACGGTTTTCAGGCACCTCCCCTCCTCCACTTCCACCACCTCCTCCTTCACCAGGCCCCAGTCCGATCTCGTTGATCGCAAGGTCACTGTGTCGTCGTTCGTGGCGGACCTTGGACACCTTAGCATGCATGCGCATCTCCTGCTCCTCCTTCTGTGGTTTCACCGGGTATCGTGCCAGGTTGGGATCACTACGGTAACGGTTCTGGAACTCCTCCTCACGGCGCTGCCGCTCCCTCTGCTCTTCATCCTCTGGGCGTCTCCGGTGTGTTTCTGAACGACCCAAATTCCCCTCCCTGTCCTCGTAGTCCTGAGAATGGATCTTTTCCAGCCTCCGTCCATCTCCCAAACGTCTCTCTCCTCTGTCCCCAGGAACCACTCGCTCATCCAGGGATGACTGAGATGGCAACTTCCCAGCAGGTCTTCGGCCACTACCACGCCCCATGCCTCCCTTACCATTTTGTTCATGGAGGGAAACTGGCCTTTTCCTGTGTGAGAAGATTATTCATTGTACCAATGTTTCATATAGTCTACAGAGACAGAAATGAACACAAATGCATCTTTTACATTACAACAGGTATTTGTAAGATGAACACAAAGGCTGAGAAAACTTTGTTTTATTTGTTCTAAGAACATGTATTTCTATATTTGCAAAACTGTGGTGATCTTTAATAACAGATTAAAACTTCTACTAGCCAACAACTCTTACCTAACTCACCCACTGGATGAAAACAAAGGGATTGAATCAAAGACCTCTCAAGACTAAAACCTTTGACCTAGCTTCTCCCCTGGTTAAGCTAGAACAAACACAGATCTATTCTTTTTTTTACCCCAGGGATTAAAAAACAACAAGAGCTTTTGCCAGCAAGTAGTCCAAGCTTTCTGGGCTTTGGAAAAAATGTTGTTTCCCATTCTCATATTGTTTTTCATTTTATGGAAAAAAAGTTAAATATCCTCTCGTGGCAGAAATATCGCAGAACTTACTTTTCTCTAGGTGGTTCACTTTGGGAGCGGGAGCCGGGCATGGTGTCAGCACCCTTGGCAGCAGTGACACCAGCGGCTGGCTGTGTCCCTTCGGGCCCTGCGTTGGTGTCGGTGCTGGAGGGCGGGGCTTGGGACCTGGAGCGGATTAGCTTCCTGTCCCGCTGGGCCTCACCTCCAGTGGCTGGGTTGTTTAAGGAGGTGCTCAGGCTCCCAGGCCGCACCCCTGACCCCGAAAACCATTCTCCTGATTTGGTGAGAATCTCTTGCTGTTTACGGCACAGGTTGCATACCCACATTACCTACACAGGTTGAAAGGACAAACGTGTTTGCAAGCTGGGTTCGGTAGCATTAAGGAATAATATTTAAAAAATGGAACATCTAACAAAAAAGGGGTTAGGCATGCCTGTGACAAAAAAAAATCGGAACAAATTACACAACGCAAGTTTATTTTGTTTAACATATTGGCTCGCACCAAACAAAGGCAGCATTGTTGACTTCAACAATTTATTCAACCTTTATTTATCCATGATAGTACCATTGAGATTTAAAATCTCTCTTTTCCAAGGGAGTCCTGGCTAAGGGCATAAAAAGTCTACGTCTATCTGTGTCTATCAACTTTCACAAACACCTTTGAGAGCGTCTCTCAGCTCACATAAATGTCAGTAAGCCACCTGTGAAAAAGATATTCCCCCACATGCTTTTCCCCTCCTTTGCTACAGCTAATCAAATATTTGAAAGCACTCAGACATGACAGACTGTGCTGTCTCAACATACAGTATCCATTATCTGTGAACACAGCTCGGCGGAGACTAAGATAAGCTCTGTACTGCTATTTCGAAAAATTACAGAACCCCTTTAAGAGGTCATGTTACACCTGCCCTGTGGTTCTAGTGCTCTGAATCGTATTGCATTGTAAACCATTAATAAAATGAATTCTTTTTTGGGATTGAACTGTTATGCTCATGTTGGTAATAAAATAAAATCATACCTCTTTAGAGGGCTACAAAGAACTATGTAATACTGTAGTGGAAGATGAGGAAGGTAAGATGAACTCTAAATGTATTGTACTGTATACTGCATATCTGTATTGTTTTTATCCAAAAGGAAAAAGAATAAAGCTATTCTAGTCAGTGCATCATCTTTGCATGTGCAACGATGATGCACTGACTAGAATAGCAATGCTTTTCTGTTATTTAGACTCTATGAAATGCTACATCACAAAGTAAGATTGATGACAAACAGCCATGTACAGTACCATATAATAACATTTGATTCTTTATCCTCTAAATCAAACCTTATAGACAACATCGAATACTCACATGTAGCCATGGCTACTGAATATCACATCGACAGCAAAAAAACAGGATTTATCTCCCTCCGTATTTATTTATAATCCCAATGTTTTGTTTTCAGAGAACGAATCCAAAGTGAAGAGGAAACATAGCGTCCCTTCTATACAAAACAAAACACCTCTGGGACCTCCGGAAAACCCAAAATGTTACTCCTTGACGCCCACTGGGATGGACTGTTAGCAGTCAGTTTAGCAGTTAGCAGTTAGCCTTCAGCGTGCCAAAGCACATATTCATCATGGCCTGATTGAATCCTAGTTGGCGCATGTCCACACTAATCTAAAGTAAATCAGCTGCCCGCACGGCCCACAGCTGTCAGGCAGCCGCCCAGCCACACACTACAGTCTCTTTCTCTGTCTTTCTCCACCTCTTTACCTCAGATGAGGGGCCACAGATTAGCAGTGGCCAGTAATCCTTTCAGAACCTCACCATTATTCAACTCATCATCAGAAGACAATAGCAGCTCACAATTCACAACTTCTAACCCCCTCCTCCATCAACCATCTCAGTCAGAACACAGGTTAGAGATAAAGCCCATGACCAAACTGCATTCAAACCATCCTAAGCATTTAGGAGCAGTGGTCTGCTGTAAATCACCCTGGGAGCAACTTGGGGTTCAACGTCTCGTTCAAAGAAATTTCGACATGCGTACAGCCGGAACCTTGTGGTTGAGGGACGACCCACTCTACCTGAGCTACAGCTCCCCATACACGCCAATCACAACCCTCAAATGTCAGCCAATGGAAATAAATCAGTCTCAAAATGCCTATTCAATTTGAAACCGTTGAAGCCATTTTTAACTCCTAAAGGCTTCCTAAAAAAAAACAGTGTATAGACTCATGCAGAAATAATCCCTCTCAATCATCACTTATGACTCACAACAAGTGTCTGTATCTACAAAGAATCGGGCCTCTGCCTGTATTTTCCAGGTGCCAGATCGTAAGCACGCATCCAAAAAGAAAATGGAATTTTTTTGAAAAACAAACATATATCTTACAAGATAAGATATAATTTGTCCTTTGCATTCGTTGCATCTTACCCTGAACTTAGTCGGGTCCATCACCCTTTTAACATCCCTTTAATGTTGATGTTTTTATTGTGGTTGTTTTACTTTCAATGTCTGTAATTGTATGTGCTTAGTGTGTGTATGGTTGTAGTTAATTGCATTAGGACACTTTAAATAAAATTGATTGACTGATTTATTTATTTTTAAGTATTATATTGCATTATCGTATTGTAAACTATAGGTTCAATCAGCACCTGGATATGTCTGAGTATCTATAGGTTGGACAGATTCATAATAAGATAGTTCCTGGTTTAAACATTTTGTACACTTTGGACTATTTTTATGCAATGTTCTTGAACAGTTTGGCTGCATTATCAGGTGCCAATAAACAAATAATAAGAAAAGAAAGTCTCCAGAATTGGACAGAACTGGAACTTGACTTCTTTTGTGAAATAAAAATGTTTTTCTCAAAGTAAGACTGCATGTATAGGTTGCTTTGCTTGTCGCTGCCAGTATGGAGGAGTAAATGCTCCAATCCACAAGCTTAATCCTTGAATGAGAGCATCCTATAGAAGAAAGGCACATCATAGGACGACTGTTAATAGCTCAGTGTGTTCTGAAACCAAAGAGAGAAATTAAAAACATCTCATTTTCTAATGGCCCGCCTCCATGTGTTAGTTATGTTCTTTAAAGCCTACACTGCATGGGGGAGGGTAGCAAACAATAAAGAAGTTACAGAACACATGGGCACACACGCACACACACAGGATATAATACATATAATCCTTCACTGGAGTGATTGTGCTCTATGTTCTTGGATAGCCTGAAAGATATTGTTGGGGGAATTAATTGTGTGTGAGTGTGTGTGTGTGTGTGTGTGTGTGTGTGTGTGTGTTTCTGTCCATGAGACGCAAAAGCCCATAGTGTGTGTGACAGATGCATTTGCAGTAGTGCTAGCTGCCTGACCAGGCGGAGCGTGACGCCAGACTCTCAGCTAAGCCGACCAATCAGCTCCCTCCGTCCAGAGGCAGCCCGCTACAGTGTCACCTCGAGTTCATCTCTTCACTGTGGAGCGCAAAGTGCTGTGAGAATGTCTCTGTGTCTATGCGGATATGTGTGCAGTAGTTATATGTAGGACATTTCTGAAACCTTCTTGCCTAGAAGAGTGTGGCGTGGGCGACTGCCTGCAGGCGAGATGTGTGTATATGTATGTGTGTGTGTGTGTGTGTGTGTGTGTGTCTGTGTCTGTGTGGAGAATAAGCAGTGCCATCTCGCTCATGTAATAATGTCAACCTCCTTCTGCCTAAAAAATGTGCTTCTCCATGGTAACCAAATCAAGGAGAGCTAGTGAGAGAAAGGGGGACAACGCAGTGTGTGTGTGTGTGTGTGTTTCTGTTTGCCCATAAAACTGAGAAAGAGAGAAACAGAGTGTGAGCATCAGTACTGAAGGACAATAACAGCAGAGAAAACATTTTTAAAAACCTGCACAAATACCATTAAGACCATTCAAGTTACCATTGCATTTTCTATCTGATATGAACCTGAGCTTGGATTTCTTCTCCTCTTCTTCCCTTCCCTTTCCTTTCTTTGCCATGTATTTCCTTTCCTTTCCTTCCTTGTCCTTCACATTTTTCTTCTTTTATTCATCTACTGTCCTTCATTCCTTCCCTTTCCTCTCCTTTTTTTCTTTCCTTTTGTGTGCTTCTCTTTTCCTCTTTCACCTTCCTTTTCGTCATTTCTTCCCTTCCCTTCCCCTTTCATTTCCTTTCATCTCTCCTCACCCTCTAGGTCAGCTGACACACCTGGCTGACTTGACAAATGAAGACACACCTGCCACTCATACTTCTCCATCCCATACTCCCTTCCCTTCATCTCCCGCCCCCAGCACTGCTCCATCCATCTGCTGACAAAATGGTGAAGGCGTGCGTCTGCAGCTCTGCCAACAGCAGCAGCATTCAACAGCAGCTCACCACGAGAACAGCTTTCATTTAGTCCCGAATTGTGTGAACATCAGCTTTTCCTTAAATGGGCAGAATAAATGGGAGCCTTGGGGGTGGCGAGGCAGTGGGGAGGGTGTGTTTGGCTTTCAGTAAGCGTGTGCAGTGACCCTGCCCTTAACACACACACACACACACACACACACCTCGGCAGAATGACATATGAGGCAGCGCTGGGTGTAAACTGCCATCGTTCAGGGAATGGTAAATCCTGAATGGTGGGAAGAAAGACGACCGCAAAAGACATAATGCTCTATTTCCTCTAATAAGGTAGTAGATCAACTCTGCAAGCAGCCCAAATGCATTCAGTGGTGAGGCAGCCTGAAAGGAAAGCAGAGCTCAAGATCGGGGGAGAAGACTCTTCCGCTTATCGTATTGCTCTACATTAACAACAAGTCATCCAAATTTAACAACAAATACTGTACGATGTATGTAACTGCCATGTAAAGCGACACTTATAAGCGTTTCCTGATCTGAGGCATCTACCACCAGGATGACATCTTTTGTTTGCACCTTCCAACATTGTTACCCGTCGCTGTTAAAAAATGTTTTTTTTATGATGTGAAAAAGTGGTAATAGGCTAGCTTTTTGCTCTGACTTAGTAAATGTTGATTGTACATTGTAATGGCTAAAGAATAATGACTTGCTTTCACTATACAATTCTGTTTTGCCACCTGCCGAATCTCCCCAGAAAATGAAGGCTCCATTTTCGGAACAAAAGGAAGTGCGTCAACCATAACGCAACTAAAACAGGAAGAGGACTGCCCTTTTGTTTTCCCTAGTAGCTTCAGTAGCTACCCCCAATTGTATCAGAGTATCAATATACGTCCTTTGCAGTTACTATCCCCAGTGGTAATGTTGGATGGTTGTTAGTAGTTATGGTTCTGAGGAAAACGGAAATTGATCAGGTTGTCTTTGCGACAGAGGCACTAACAATAATACCACTTCTACATCTACATCTCCTGACTTCCGGAGCACATGCGCTGAGCGTCTAATATTGCTGTTTTACTGATAAGAGTCATGGCCAAAACTTCTACTCCACACGTGGGCTTTCACTTTTCACTTATGACTTTTCAGTGAGGGAGATAATAATAGCTTCTGTAACAGCATTACGAAGCACTTCACAAACATCGAACACTTGAGCATGTTGCTCTTGGCTTTTGCAAGATCCAGTAAGGGAGGTGCTATTATTAGACATACAGGCAGTGGCTGTGAAGGGATATAGTCAGCTCCAAAATCAGGCCTTGCTATAATGTTTGTCAGGCTCATAAGCGCATTTGTTTTTAGCCCAGGAAATGTGTGCAGGTGCATGGTGGTGGAAGAAGGACAGGGCTGTATCAGTGCGAAAAGACAGACACAGGGTCAGACAGTGATTTAAATGGAGAGGCTTTACAATGGGCAGATGAAGGGAGCAAAGAGTTTACAGAGGCTACTACGGATACAGTGATGTATGATAAGACAGGAGTGGAGTGTGAGGAGGAGTTGTTAGTCATCTATTACTGAGAACCATGATGGAGATTATGCACTGCATCCTCCCTTCCGGTAAAAAAGTGCTGTGTCAGCTTAATGCAGTAAGCAAGCAAGACTCTGTGTGGCTGTATCAGTGCGAATCTGAGCTTGTGTGTCTGTGTTGTGTGTTATTGGTAAACTGTAGGCATTAAACTACTTCAAATCACACAGGGCACCAAATACATACAAATAAACAGAAAGACTATAAAAGGGGTTCTGGTGTAATTTGTGGATTGAAGTGAAACTGATTGTCTTGGCTTTTCAAATACAATATATTTCTAGCATTTATGGCTCATTCTGAAAATATTAAGTCGAGGTTGTATATGTGTGTGTGTGTGTGTGTGTGTGTGTGTTAGGACCCAGCGCCTGCCTGTTATCCACTGGGAGGCAGTGCTCCTCTATAAAGGAGACGGAATGTCAGAGGTTTGGTCAGTTTCTGGAAGCCATCTGGAGCTGACATTGAACACACATAAACAAACACTCAGCCATTAACAAGCTATAGCACCAGCAATAGCAGGGCAGCTTGACAGAGAGGGCTAAGAAATACAAATCACCTTCTTCACACACTTCAGAGCTAGCTTAGCTTTCTATCACATACGGAAAGGGATTTAAACTTGAAGCGGCTGGCCTTCAATGATTAGCTCAATAAGTAACCTTTAGTTAACAACACTGATAATATCATTTTTACAGATTCCGATACCTGAACGTGCGAATCGGCCAATACTAAGTGCCGATCCAATATGATACCAGTGTGTTAAATACAAAGAAAATGTAAACAATTTCCTCTCTAATATCTATTTTATTTTGCTGTGAAAACATCTCCTTTAAACAATTCTATCTATTCAAGTTTCTCGCCAAAAACTACATTTTAAAAGATTACATTTGCACATATTAAATACAATTTACCCTCGCCCATTACTTTTTTTTACTGAATAGAGGCTAAACAAATCATCATGTAACTCAAAGCAACCGCCGTACATTAGATGTTAGCTCTGTTATTTAGCCAAGCAGGGCTGAACTGCCCAGCTGCTGCTAACAGCTCAAGTTAATTAGCTCTCTTGTAGATTTCAACAAAAATGTGTTGTTCACAATGTAGCATTATCAGGGAAAATATAGGGTGCGCAAGAGTGTTTAACCGCAGGTGTGTACTAGTTTGCGATACCAATCGGGCAGGGTGTACAGATTGGGACGTGAGTGACCCGTGTTGTTGTCCCTGTGTAGCATAAATGAGCTGATAAATGATATGACAATGTGATATCGAATTTCAAGAATCCTGCTTGTATGAGATCAAATACACTAAGTAATGTGTATCATATTCTAAAAGCAAACAATGATATTAAGGCCAGGTTTTGCATCCGTAAAAGTAGTTGCGACACCGTTTTTTCCACAAAAAAAATCACAACTGCCTACAGGTCTATACCAAGGGCAGCACGTCAAAAGCCTGTGTGAAGGACATGAGTCAATTTTCCTGTTTTCGATTCTGACTTATTTGCTGCTTTATCTGGAATCATAAGCGCAGTCAAACAATGAATCCTCTTTCTGACAATTCAAGGGCTCAGCGACATCCCAAACTAACATTCAATGCCATTCTCTTCACCGTTCCTGACTTTTGACAGGGCTCAGCGGTAAAACCACTTTGGTGACTTTTCGCAGCGACCAAGCATTAAGGGGAAGTGGACAAGTTAGGACATATCCCTGGGCCCTCCCGTCTCCCCATGGCAAGGCTGGTCTGGTCTCAAACACACAGGCAGGTAAAAGCATGCACAGGCATGAGTGTGCGTTCATTATGCATTCAGATAAATGGTCTGTAGAGTGCTTTCTTATATGCATGCCATCTGAAATGCCAATCTCCCATCCCCATTTTTGTCAAGGATTTAAACCAGTATCCACTGGCCCCCTTTCAGCACAGCCATGCCTACAGCCATAGGAAGAGGGGTCAGGATGGGTCAGGATGGGTCAGGATGGGTCAGGATGGGTCAGGAGGTTCAGACGCCCTTTATCATGGCTCATGCTCGCTCTGCCCGCCAGTTGACTGTCAGGGTCTGCATTCATTCTCAGAATTAGAGTACTGATGCAGGATCACCAGCCAGCTGCCCTGAGACCTCTTAACCACAATGATCTGTGAGGAGAAAACTGAATTCTTGTTCTGATACTGTGAATGAGCACAGACCCAAGTGTGAGGGGGGACAATAGTAGTGTACCCATGCAGCAAAATCCATCACCCAGCAAGCCTTACCCTGTCCTTCACTATGAGACACTTTGCAAGGGGAGGAGACAGACAACGGACACAGAGTTAGTCAGGGTTTACACTGGGGAGAAACTCCTCTGAGGACACAATAGCTCCACCCCGCACAGTACAGTAAGGCTCTGAGAAATCAAAGTTAACAAAAACCATGACCTATCAGGGACTCCCTCTGTTCAGTTAAGTCAGTAATCCATAAATGGATTTGTACACACACACTGGCTCCGTTCCAATCCGATAGCTTGCTCTCTTGCATCTGATATTGTTGTTTTTTTCTTTCAGCTGGGAAATTATAGGTCTGGTCTTAGACTGATCTGATCTTACAAATATTCGAGAGATCTCCGCACCAGATTTGAACACAGCCAGCATTTTAACTTTTAGGTGGCACAAACATCACAGTCACAGCACAGAGAGAACACAAAAAAAAAGATGCTAACCACTTTGTCCTCCTTTGTGGCATGCAGTCCGGGTAGCAGTGAGTATTGAGAAAAGTGACGGTGGAAGCAGAGCAGGAGAGGGAAGAAAAGAGAGAAATGAAAGAACATAAAAGATATAAGAAACAGAGATGCGGAGAGGGTGAAATCGTGAAATGCGATAGCAGACAGATCGTAGGAAAAGAGGAGAAAGAACAAAGGAGAAAAGGGGGAAGAGGACGTGGTGCAAACATTTGTTAATTACATTCTGCAGAATCAATACACATACTTCATATTCAAAGAAGGAGTGTGAGGTGGTGGGAACAACAGTATGTAAATGTATGTGACCACTGACGTGAGGCTGCAGCAACATGCATGATCCAGCTTGCCATGACCTTGGCATGACTCATGACCTGAGACAGCATCAGGATGCGTCACAGCTCCTCAGCATGAAGAGGAAACTGGGACACTAAAAGCAACAGGGCACATTCTTCCACAAGCCTTTCTGTGCCTTTACTAAACCTCTGTCTATACATTCCCATAAAATCTATCCAGGTATTTTCAAATATTCACATTAATGCCGCTTTTTTCATGGCTTAATTTATAATGAAAGCAGTTCAGATGTTGGTGAAAGGGCAAAAAAAAGTTTTGGATTATTTGATCATCTTTGTTTTAACCTCAGGACACAAACTAATTATTTTAAAGAGGTTGCTTCATGAATGCTGTACATACATTTAAATGCAGTGTGATGAATTAAAATATCTATTTTTTCTAATCCTCTCTTTAATATTAATAAAGTATGTTCATTATAATGTCAAGCAGGGGCAACACTTTGTTTGGATGGCATTTGCACAGCATGTTGCTGTGATGCCTTCTGCAGGTCATTAGGAATTGATCAATTATTACAGCAAAGCTGCTAAAAACAAAGTTATTAAACAAGTGTTAAACAGGTTATTGCCTTGCTATCATTTTGCAATTTTACAGAGTTCCATGCTATGGATATAGTGATTTGAGAACTGATATTAAAGTGTCTTTCAAAACTTAATTCTTTTCAGAATTTTTTTCATTGGAGTTCAGACTATATAGCAGGCTCAAATTAGGATCAGAAAGATTTTTGAGTTTGTGAAATGATGTTCAGAAATAATTTCAAAGCCTGTGTAGTTGCATGTAATCCCTTTGTAAACTTGTGAAAAACTTGATTTGTGGCTGCAGTTGTTGTACACAACTGAATATCAATGATGATGTTACACAAAAGTGAAAGCTGACCTTTTAGAACATATGATGACAGATTCCCAGGTTTTGTCACAGGAGTACAAACTGTGGTAACCATTACGTTATTATTTCTGACTAACTAAAAAAATCTAATTGACCTTAGTTTGTTTTGGTACCTTTTGTAGTATAGTACTTTTTCAAAATGTCATTTGTTATTTTTTATGGTACTGTGGTATTGTTTCAATATAACATTTGATACTTTTTGTGGTACTGTTCCAATATGACATTTGATATTTTGTATGGTACCACTACCAAAGCTAAACTACCTGCATGGCTAGATACTGCTAGAGGTGGACAAGAAAATATGTTGCACTTTTTTGTTGTTGTTTATTTATGTAATAATAGTTTATGTTCGAAAGTTTAAAAGCATTTGTATTTCGGGCATTCCTCTTCACCAGCTGTGTATAGCCCATCCATACACCACATGGATACAGCTGTAAATTGTTGTACATACAGTATATTTATACAGTATGTTTATACTCCAGATATTTTGTAGAACAACATCGCACCGTTTATTTTAATACTGCATTAATATCGTTTTAGAAGGTAAACTGCTAACTAGAGCAAAACGCAGAGTGCTGTTGATGTGGGTTAAATGAACACACTGTAGGCAGGAGAAGGTTTTTTATGTGATGAAACAAAGCTCACACTTTCCTGACCCCGTTATTCTGCTTGGCCGACCTGGACGACCCTGGAAAAAGGCAAGCACCACTGAGACAGAAAGAGCTTCACTTCTAACGCATCCCACCCACACAGTATACACTCACACACAACCTTTCACAAACAAATACACAGAAAAGAAACGGAAGACAGTGTTGTCTTCACTTACATCTTGTAAGGATTTATGAATTCAATCGGTCAGTGAATGTAGAAATTCAAATCCATTTTGGTTGAGTGATACAATAAATCTTATTTTTTATAAATAAATATAAAATACGTTATTCAATGTGAGACATAATTTTCCCTATTTATTTACGTCCCCATGATTTAAGTACAAAACAATGAAATTATATAATGTAAAGGAACTAGCTGTTTAACATGTTTTGTATTGGCTGTAAACCCCGTTAATTTGACCGGACCCAAACTTAGTCATTGATTAATTAATTCACTCTCAAAGAGACACACAAAAACACCCTTTCCACCAAGTTTCATAAAAATATCCCTTTCTTTTGACTGTGTTAAATAATTTAGGTCCCTTAAAATGAATTCCACTTCTAAGTGACACTCGGTCAAAGAATTCAATTCCACATTAAAACATGAATTATTCTTATTTTCAAAAAGGCCATATCGATTGACGTTAATTTGACTACAATTTCCCTTCAAATACCGTAAATCTTTTACTTAGAGTTATTTATACTAGATTGCATTTATATCCTGCTGGTCTCATCTGTGTATTTCCATGTCACAGCCAGTTTGCTGTGAAAGTAATATTAATGGCTTCACCAACAAGGATACTATCTTCCTCCCGTGTTCTCACTGGTCTTTGAGCTCTACATACGTGTGGTGCCAGTGTGACTTCAGGCCCAGCTGGGCTAGGCGGATCCTGAACAGATTGGGGACCAGCAGGCCAAGGATGGAGGGCCCATAGTCAGGTACGATACCCAAGGGGAGGTCTTCTGTCTTGGGTTGGAGCCCATACAATGTTTGAATGGAAGAAGGCCGAGTCTTAAAATAGTGCAAAGATGTTTGGTTAAGGGGTGGATGCCTCGCAAATCCAACCTGGATCAAATTAATGTTATAATTTGGTGGTTTGGTGTGGGCCTTTGTTTTATCATAGTGTGGCCCTAGAGCCTGTAGCTTAATGGTACTCCTCACTCCTCAGTGTCTTCAGTCGATCGTGGGTTTATGTAAACTGATGTTTTGTTTGTTTATTTGTTGTTTTCTATTTAGAGACGGACGTCTGGGGTTACCTTGACCTTTAAACTAGCACCACCAGCAGTGAAATATCTCTGACATTCGTGGATATTCATGTTCCCCATGGCATAATCTTAAATTACTTGAAGGATTTCTTAAATGTTACTCTTGCACCATCATCAGGTTTAATACTTTGGTTCATGACTATATTTGCAAAACTAAAAACATTCCCATCAGCTCCAGTTATATTTTGTGTTTAGTGCTAATTAGCAAATGTAGCAAGCTTAACTGCTAAACTAAGATTATTAAGACTGTAAACATTATTTACCAAACATCTCCATGTTAACATTTTCATTATGAGCACGTTAGCTTGCTGACGTAGCATTTCGTTTAAAGCACTGCTGTGCCTAAGTACAGCCTTACAGCACTGCTAACATGACAACCTGTCAATGCCATTTACTGCTATGTAATTTAATGAACAGTACAAAATAAATGTTGAATGGCAACAGAATCAAACACTTACTTCATGTAGGCTTGAATAATAGCTCCACTGTCTGTCTCCTGTATGTTCAAAAACTTTTATTTTAAATATTACACAGTAAAACACACAGTTTCCCTTTGTCACTAGTGAGGTAAGATGTTTACATTTGCCATTTGGAACCAGTGCCCGCACACTGGCCATAGTTTCTGGTGACAAAGTTTAACAGCTAATCTTGCTAGCAAGAAACAGAAGCTGTGCAGAGAAAGCAAAGAGATGGACAGCAAAGAGGAGGATGATGCTGCAAGAGTTGTTTGACATTTTTGGGACATTTTGAATGCATTTCGAGTGAAACTCGGATGCTATTCTGACAGTGGCAAATACAACTCAACTACAACTGCCGTCCTGCGAACCTTTCTTTTTCTCTTTATTTAGGCATGTTGCTTGAGAAGGCCAGCCCTGTCACTGTTTGTTTTATTGGCTTCAGTGCCATCACAGGAGACACAGGACAACACAGATGATTTCCAGTTCAGGTGAGCTAAAGTGCTTTGATCGATTTATAACCATTCCACAACACTACAGCCTCTGACTTGAAATGAGCCTTGAAGGATTGGTGCCAAGCCATTCTTCCAACACACTTTGGTGAGACCAAAGTGTGACCAGGAGGCAACAAAGCAGACAGGGACAAACACATAAGCAGAACGACCAAGTGCACATCAGCTATAGCAGGAATGAGGTGAGTGTGAGAGGGGGAAAGGAAAAGGTCACGGGTCAGGTTTCTCACGTTGTTGGAGCGCAGAGAGACCCGCCCTCCACAGCGAGCGCAGAATTTGGTCTGGCAGTAGGAGCAGAGGTGGCCGCAGCCGTCGGCAAACTTGGTCTTGCGACAGATACCGCAGGTGGGCGCGTCATCTTTCAGCTGGGTCTGCTGATGCCGCGTGTCTGCCCCAATGCGACGCACTTCCTGTTTGTAGCTCTCAAACTGCTGGTGCAGTGTTCTGAGGGGGGGGAAAAGTGGAAGATTGCCCATTAGTGGAACATCATGTATTCACAAACGTTTCATACTTGATAAACCCAACCCCCCAGTGCTGTTCAGACAGACCTTCCTGTTTAAATATCCTTACATTCATAAAAACAAAAACACAGAAGGACGTGGCGGAATTTCTGAATAATTTAATCATTTTTTAAATAAACAAATCTAACAGAAACAAAAGTGATGTTATGCCTGGACATGTTTGAGAACATTTCAGCAAAATAACTGGCAATTAGAGTGCCACTTGAAAGGTGCCTTTCAAAAAAAAAAGAAATCATACACGCAATTAAATGAAGCTCAGTTTTGCTCTCTGTGGCTCACAGCCTTTCCCCTCCTTGCTTCCCAGGATGCCTATGATGGAAATAACCCGAGTGTGAATTGCAAATCAGGCCATGTGAAAACACCCACAATGTTTGTCTCAACAGAACTGTCAAAGGAATATTGCATTACCATACCATGGCTCTTATATAGGCGACCCAGACAGGCACTTTAATTGCCTCGCTGAGTGAGAGACATAGAGAGGAAGGAGATGGCTTCATTCACAGCTTGGCAGCCAATTTGCATATTTGTGGAAGCAGACAAACTTTAGTTAAGCCTCTGGCCGCACACAGACTTTACAGTCGTGTCTGCGAGTTGTTTGTCGAAAAGAAATTCATCAAGACAATGCAGCGCACTGGCAATCACACTTTTGTTGAGCTAAAAATTAGAAATTGAAACAAAAAATACCCAAAAAAGAAAGTTGAATAAGTGGAAAGCCCACTGGTAAGCAGGACACTGAACACCTCCTGTATGCTGATTAGTGGTTCAGCATGAGAAAATCTAAGAAAAACATAATTTTTAAAAAAATCACACGTTCCAAGATCTAGACCTAAACCAACATTCAAATTCCTTTTTTTGTGACCATCAGTCCAAAAAAAACCAAAGACATTCAGTTTACTAAATTCTCATTACTAGTCAAACTAGATCACCTGGATCTATTGAGAGCAGACATGTCTTCCTGTCTGTAATGCTAAGCTGCTGGGTAGGAAACAGGTAGAAAACATAACACCTGATCCGTGGTCAGTAACTTCTGGTGGTAGGAAAGTTCAAAGAGACAACAGTCCTCCACCATGACCTATCCAAAGTCCAGGAACGATGCTGTGCCTTTCCAGAATACGTTTGAGTTGGAAAAAAAGGTCTGTCTTTGAAAAACAAGCAGTCCAAACAAAACGTTATGTTAGTCCCGCAAAGGTTACAGTCTCAAGAAAAAAGTCTAACAAATGAGATGACAAAAAATTGTACATTCCTCTTCTACTCGTGCCTTTCTAGCTAGCTCTGAATAGTGCTGGAGCAGAAACAGCAGACTGCCACCATACAGAGCTGGAACAGGGAGGTGACTGGCCAACTGGGACACATTTGGCCAATCAGCTGACACATGGAAAGGCTGGAACAGGGACAGCTATTTTGTGACGTGGAATGTTGAATACAATGTGAAAGAAAATGTAATCGTAAGGAATATTTTCTCGAAAAATACACATTGATGTCAAGGTTAGAAATGGAAATATCCTCCGTCACAAACAGCCACAACCTTGAGGCTGATATTTTGAATATTATCATGTCTTCTATGCATTTTTCTCAAATATTTGGTTTGTAATGTTTAAGTTCAAATGCTGAAGTTTTGTAATGCCCGAAGGGGAATCGCTGTAATAACCGTAGGGCTCAACATCAAAGCATCTGAGCCATCTATAATGCAGAAGTTCATTCAAATAAGTTAATGCAATGAAGATCATCACTATACCATGAGAGCATTGTTTTATACCATTACACACATTCTGGTCTCTTTATCCATCAGCAGTTCAGGCTGTGCTTGAAGGCTTTGAACAGATAATACTGGATTTTATCTTTTATAACTGTAGCTGCCCAGACAAAAAAAGATAAAAGGGTCTGCACATGCAAATATACTCAACAGAATTGTAATTGTATGTGCACGTTTTCACTCAAAATGTTTCAAGTCGGCTTTGCTTAAGATAACAGTCAGAAATAATGATATATGGACATTGGAGTTGACACGAACCTAAGCTAAACTGATCCGTACGTAATTCAAAAGGGAAAAACAACATGACACCGCACAGCAGTAACGTCATAAACATGACCTCTGACCCTGAGAAGCAATCTATCCCGCCGATGGGAGTCCAGCGGCTGAGCCAAGCCCAGGCACCATGGGAACAGCTGTCAGAAACAGAGGGTGCACAGCCGGTTGTCATGGTAACGTGGTGGCGTCAAGCACTGGGAGTCAGTGGGTGTCAGTGCACCAGCTGTTCTTTTCTTAGAGCCAAGGTTTCGTGCAGTATTTTTACCACTTCCACACATTTAGCAGACATACACTGTTAAAGCTGCTCAAGGTGACTTTTTCAATGTAGAAACAAATCTGTGTTCTGCGCCTGAATCAGAAAAGGAGCTTTGCAGCTGTGAGCAGGGTCTCGTCCTCTTTGACTGAGAATCTCTAGATATAGCCGGGTGGAATTCTGATGTCAGGTCTGGACAATTTCCTGCCCATCTGCAACAAAACTCAAAATAAATTCTCAAATGTTAGCAAGTTAAAGCCATTCAGTGAAATCCGGACCAGACAACATTAGATAATCTTCTCCTATACCTTTAAAAATACTTGCATGATTTCTGCATAACTCTTCCCACCACTCTTAACTACTAATGTGGAAACCTATTGTGGCTTTAAACCTGTTTTAATGTATGTGTTGCTCACCTGGTGCATCATCACCGATGCCAACAGCACAGAACATGTGAAGGTAACATGCTCTCACAAACAGTGCAAAGAGAAAGCGGCAGCCCATGACTGACACACTCATCTGGAAAGCATCTACTGAATGAAAAATGTATACAAAATATACAGTATTTTCACAGAACATGTGCAAATACTGTCACACATACACACACATACACCATCCAAAATCTAAAATATGCACCCTATCAATAGACAATGTGGCAGTCCAGACTCATGTCCTCTGAGTCGCCACACAGTTCCCACATCCATCATGATTTCTACCTAAATACATATCTTGAGTTATGTTAAACTTAACCATGACTCAGCAGGGGATGCATCACCCAATTTAATCACTCTGTGAAGACACAGGGAAAGATGTCCTCTCAAGTAAGGACATGCTATCCGTGTTTACCAATATTTTAAGTGGATTTTTATTGGGATGTTAGCCAAAAACTGCCCGGATCAGGAAATAATTCTGTTAGCAGCTTAAGGGCCAAATATTTTTCAGGAGTTTGTGGAGACCAAAACAGAGCTGGAGCAAATATTTGATTGAAATCAACTAGGCGGACAGAAACAAAACACCAATGAATGCTAATGTCTGTCCATGTGTCATGGTACGAAATTGTAGCCTACCGCTTTCCCCAGGTGACCCAGAATCATCAAATAATGCAGCTTTAATCACACCTGTGCATCACCCACTATAAGGCTTTGACAGGTCAAAATGGCTAAACATTGCTGTGAAAAGCGCTAGCAGTAACTTGATACACAACTAGAATTAACGCTACATGTCAAACACATTACCTTCCCTGTCATTGGTACTGTTAAACGACTCTAAATCTAAGAGTAGGTTACAGAAGCTTTTTGACAATCGCTGCTTGATGGCGCTGCGGTGCAACCATTTTGGACTGAAAACGCGAATAAGTCTACTGCCATGGATGTGCTGATAAACATCTGTAAATTAGAGGAACATTTTTTTCGGTAAATCAACTTCCCAGAACAAACACTAAAATAGAGCTTATTTAAATTATTAAGTCCTAAAAGTTGTAATTTTCACAAATAGCCGCATCAAGAGTTATTTTTCCATAATGAACATGCATCACATCCACAGAACCTTTTCCATTGCCTTTTGGATTATTGCAGAAAATAATCTCTCTGGCAAACAAACATTTATGATCCACGTTTTGTTCAGCAAGATAATCTTCACAAATGAACACCACTTTTATGATTCTTGAAGTGTAAATCCAATCGACACATGTAAAAAGCTAACGTTAGGCTATAAATGAACTACACCATGGTCGCATACTTCACGTCACCAGCACTAAGCAAAAGGCGGACTTGTAGTAGTCTCATTTAGCCACTTGTTAGCAACCGCCAATGACGACCAAATAGCTTTCCATTTTTATCAAGCCATTTATCAACCTCTAACCTAAGCTAACCCCTAAGCTAACTAATAACCTAGCTAACTGAGCAGATGCTCAAACATACACCCAACTCCTCACAAAACTCTGAATGTACAGGTTGTACAGAAGACACTGCATTTGAATACAACAACTTTAGAGTTACAGGAATGTGTCTTTTTTTCGGCAGAGGTTAGGCATATGCTGACCGCCCCACAGCTCCAGTGCTAAGCTAACGTGTGTGTTATAGTAGGGTACATTTGGCTACATTACTTAAAAAAGTAACATATTGGCACTACATTAATTAGTTACTATCTAACACCTATAGCAGGTGGCCGTGGTAGACATTGACCAGGGGGATCCAAGTGGTGTGAACCGGCTGAACTGTAGCTGTCTCCTCTCTCCAAGTCAACACCATAGGCCAGCAGGGACAGCCAAAGAGCCAGATGTGGGTTAGCCCTGCTTTGGCCTTGTCAAAACCAAGTATGCAAATAAGCACACAATTACATACACTCACACATATGCAAATATAAACAATGACACAGACAGAAAACCCACATAAACAAATGTATGGGTTTGCCTTTGCCTCGGGCCTCGCACATTCAACTCAGCATGTCCAAGGTCTCCCTTCCCCTCTCTCCCTTTCTCTCTCTTGTTCTCTTTATCTCTCCCTCTTGGGTCTCCAGTCTCTTCACCAGTCGCTGGTGTGGCGTTGTTAATTAGCACCGCTATGAATACATTGCCCAAGGATGGGGAAGGAAGAAGGGAAAGCTGTGTGTGTTTGTGTATGTGTGTAGGGCAGTACTATTTCTGTCTCATCAGCTGATTCTTGGTGACGCTTTGCAGAAGACTCTTCCTCAGTCGGAGGAGCCACACAAAGTTAAAGACCTTTCAGGCCCATTATTAAACCCATTATCTCCAATGCTTTGCGCCGCCCCACAATGGCTTTTTACCAAACAAGCATGCTGGATAGAGAAAAATAAGTCTCTGCTTCTGATGGAGCTCAAGAGACCGTGAAGATGACAGACATGTTGGCACACGCTGTGAGGAGGCAAGGAAAGGAGAAGTCAGGAGTGATGAGAAGGGGTAAATGAAAGGAAGCAGACACAAACAGGGAGAAGATACCCTGCGGTGAAAAAAGGAAACAGGAAGAACAGGTGAGGAGCGATTTATACACAATCCCAGAAGTCTTCCAATCTCAGAAAGAGATGTATAGACAAACAGCTGTCTGCAGGGAAGGAGGAGGTGATGGGAGGAGAACAAGTGGAAAAGCAAAGGATGAACAAAGAGAGCCAAGACGGAAACAAGCGTGGGCCAGAGACCAGCGGAGGAGAGAAGCCAATGCATCCGGAGCCACTCTATAAATACCACTTGAGAAGAGGAGAGGATGACGGAAAGAGGATGGAGACAGGGTGATGGAAAGAGGAAGGGGAGGAAGAACAGGTGGAGAGAAAGGAAAAGGAGCAGTTAAGAAAAGAAGTAACTTTAGTAATATACAATATTGTAAATGAAGACTGAAGTTATGTGTCAAAAATAAATGCAAAAACTAACCATTCCTGCTGGAGTGTGGCGTGTGAAAGTGATGAAAAGAAGGAAGGAGACAGCGAAGGGAACAAGAGCAACAGATGGGTGCTTAACCAAATGCAAACACTTTCTTTGTTTTCTTGTTTGCCTTGCCATGCTGTTATCCATGTCAAAAGGCTATAACATTGTACTAACGTCATAATGCTAGCAGAAATATACCACCCAGATGGCCAGTGTGTATCTATCTATAGGACAGCAATTTCTCAAGAAATCTGGTCAGTCCTTCCTGGTTTGATATGGTTTGATTCCCAGCTGTCATTCTTTGCAGGATCCTGTGTTACAGCCACATCTGACAGCTGTAGTCACATAAACCTGCTGGTTTAGTACACAGCTCTAGGGAGTAATGTTAAATTAAATCTATCCTGTGTCCTCCATCATTTATTTTGAGAAGAATCTAGACTGGTGTTTGTTCAGGCATGGGACGATGTCAACATCCTGGCCAAACGAAAAGTGTGATTCATGTTATTATCCTTCAAAATATGCTTAAAACTCTTAAAATGACACTAAAACATACTAAAATCACGTGACCTAATACGTTTTGTTAGAGAACACATATTTTCATTGCATCATATATAGACGGTTAGGGTTAGGGTTAGGGTTAGGATTGTTTAACTCTGAGATCTGAAAAACTACCCCTTCTGACGTGGAGTGCCACTACCCTTTGAGCCCCTGTTTCCCTTTATTCACACTGCAATTAATTTAGACGGGCCTCCGGAGATGACAATGTTGAGCCTCGGTTTGTCCACGACTTTGGTCCAGACTGAAATATGTGAAGGAACTGGATGAAGTGTCATTAAACATTCAATGTCAACAGACATTCATGGTCCCCAGAGGATGAATCCTCCTGATGTTGAAGATGAAGTTTACTTTTGCCGTTTTGAGTGAAATGTCTAAACAGCTATTACATGGATTACCCTAAAATTTTGTGAAGCTACAGTATGCCCCCCTCAGGATGAATTGTGATACGTTTGTTGATCCCCTGACGTCCAGAATTTGTCCAATAGTGTGACCCAGGGACCAAATGCCTTCTACTGACAATCCCATCAGCCTCAGCTGTACTTTGAGCGGTTACAATGCTAACACACTAAGCTAAGATGGTCAAAATGGTAAGCATTATCTGCTAAACATGAGCATGTTAGCATGCTCATGTTAGCATTTAGCTTAAAACAAATCATGGATGTCATGTGCATTATTATGCAATTCATATTTCCATTGAATTCACTATAACATATTTGATATCTTTACAAAGAATAAGATATTGACCAGAATTTAAAATGAAGTAATGTAGGTTTCAAAGCTCTGCGCATGACATACATTTTGTAATGATTGAGTCACGGAAGGGTTCATGCTGTTGAAGAGGTTAAATGAACAGACTTGATGTTAAGTCTTGTGTGAGTTTGGTTCTGTTTCCTATAATGCTCCATCAGTTCTTTAACCTATAGCATCAGACTAAACAGCCCCTCCCATAGCCGTGCTTGGATGTTGATAACTCTTTTTATTGATGTTGTGAGTGTTTTACCCGTATTTATGGAGCAGAGTGCTTTTTTGGCATGGAATGCTGAGACTATCACTCTATCGCTCTCCTCCTAATATTTATTTTTTCTTTCTTTTCCATTTATATCCCTCTTACTCTTCCTCCATTTACTTTAATTCTTTATCATACCTCACTCTTATCTTTAGATTTGGATTCCGCTCTGACAACGCTAAGTAATTGATAAAAAAAAGTTATCTTCCACATCACTATATATATGTTTCTTTCTCTCTTTAATACTGAAACACAAAGCCTCTGACCTCACACAGCCTGCTGGGTGACGTAAGACATGAATCTAGTTGATGGAGTAGTTATCGAGTAATCATGGGCGACCTCTATTCCCCTCACTCCATCCCACATACCTCGGCTGGCAGCCCGCTCCTTCGCTGCCCCCTCCTCCTTCTTCTTCACTTAATTTTCTGCAGGCCCCACCTGACTCCACACAGCAAACTACAAACAAAATAAACTGTTGAGTGGGATTGTTAATGCTGCGCAAGATCCACTGCTAGCACCACGGTTTATTTATGTCCAAAATGTTGTGTTTGAACAGCGCATGCTTATTCATGACAGTTTTGTTTGAATGCCAATGCATTTTGTGATTGTTTGCTGGTTACTAGTCTAGTCATGCACACATAGAACATTTTGTATTGTGTTAGGGTATCATTGCAATGAGTTAATTTGAGTTATAAACCAGCTGTGTCGTGTGCAGTGACATCACCGGTGGGTGTGGTTACAGGAGCAGTAGAGCATTATTTTGACCACACCCATCAGTTATAATTGGATGCTCACATGTGTAACTGGCTTTGAACCAGAGTAGATAGAAAAACACTGCTTACTGCTTACTTGAAGTTTGAACTTTCTCCATCCTGAAGATCTGATACTTTTAACTGGATTGTTTTTATTAATGCTAGCACACCGTTTTTATTCATTAACATGTTTTATCTGATGTTTTATTATTATCGTTGTTTTTATCTTCAATTATTGTTGGGTATTTTATTCTATTTTATTTTTTATATCATATTAATTCTATGATTGATTTGCTTCATTGCGATCTTTAAATGTTTTAATCCTTATTAAGCCATGTAAAGCACCTTGTAAATTTGCCTTTAAAGGTGCTAATAAAGTTTATTATTGAAGTTTATTATGTAATAGTTAGCACTGCTGTGGTATGTGTAAACCAACATATACAGTTAGATGGACATGCTGTAGTATTTGATGATGAGCGTGCTTACAGTTTACCATGGCCACATGTTTATTGGTTGAGTAGTGAGTTAAAGAAAACCTGAGTGGATAAACACAAAAAATGCAGATGTTTTCATTCAGAGCAGTAGAGGACACAGTTTTGATTAATACGGAAAATGGTGTGATTTACCAGATGTCAACACCTATGGGAGATGTTGGAGTGATTTATTAGTTAGTACCATCCCGCACCATCATCAAAACACCAAATGAGGGAAGATATTTTACATTAAGGTTTAGTATTTCTGGACTTCTCTATTTAAGGAACCAAAACAACCTGACAAGTGTTTGTATTGTGCTTTCTGAGGGAGCTGTGATAGGCAAACATGGTCTGTATAAAGCAGCAGTACATTACAGGTGTGCCACAGTCCCTCTCACAGCCACATATTTAGGCACAACTCAACTCTTCCTGACACATTATTTAACAATTAACATTATCTAAATAAGCATATTGAGATATTTTGACTGGTATTACCAAGGGGTACAAATTTGAGTCCCATACAATGTTGTGTGTGGCCACTCATGATATAATCCCATCACTTCTTCTGACCACAAACACAGAGAAATGGAAGGAGTGAAGGAGAGAGATGTAGAGAGCCTGGTCAGCCCAAGTAGAATGCATTCTCATTAAACTTTAATGCTGGGGAGGTCTGAGAGCACTAAAGAGGCTACTCACCGAGGCTCGTTCAGGTCTCTCAATCTCAACACACTCACTCAGAGTCACACCCAGCCGCACCATCTCCTCCCATCCTCTGTGAGTGAGAAAGGCCATGTCCTGGTACTCAGTCACATTTTGTCCCCTATGTCTCTTCTGCTGTAGCTAATGATTAACCAAATCAGCACAGCTGTATCAACACACAAACGGAAGGCTGGTTCCCAAATTGCACAAGATAGTGAAAGACCAAGGCTTGGTCGAGGTAGAGGATAGGGGCTCTATATGCACATCGGTCGAGTTCTTCTACACCAAACTGGGAATGCCATTTCGTTATGCACCTGGATTTAAAAAGTCTCTATGGGGGGCTGTCATGGTTTCTAAATGTTTAAATGATCATATTGGATGAAAATGAAGCGTATGATCTAAGTCTGTTTTCAATGCACGGGTGTAGTGTGCCATTTATACAACAAAGCAGAAAACAGAAAGGGCGCTTCACAAGTTGCCATGCGTCTGTAAATTTGTTACAGAGTCCCTTAAAGATTCTGCATAAAACAACTATTTGCTAGGTAAAGACATAGTGGAGTAATGTCTACCTGACCAGAGAGTCACTCTCCCCCTGTGTGTGTTGTAATGTGTTTGGTGTGCTCTGCGCTCATATGGCAGTTACAGCTGATAATGCCGTCCCGACCGACTATTAGCTCTGTTGCCATTGTTTGCAGTGTTAGCAGTGCTAGCTGCAAGCAACTGGCTCAGCCGTCACCATGTTAAAGGCATGGAGACACTAGATATGCACTAAATTAGAACTTTTATGACAAATTGTGACTTTTTTACGGTAACCCTTTCAGAAGAAACCAGGGTCATGAATGTAATTAGGGCTGGTGCACAAAAGGGGGTGCATGTTTTTTTAAAGTGTTCCAATGCAAATTGCATACTTTTACTTCAATCAGTGCTTCGATTTCTGACAACTTCACTCACGTTCTGGCCCACATTTAGTGCAAGAGTGTACACAAGCATGCATGCATGCACACTCACACACACACACACACCGATGAGCATGCATACTAAAGTATACCCAAATGTGTACTAGTGATTGTGTTCTTTAGTTGTTTTTTTGCAGTTACATTTGAGAATGAAAAACTGAGACGCAAACACAAGATTGAAGCTTTTTGAGACAGGCAGCAGAGATAGATGACAGATGTGTAGACAAACTCAGGAGTGCTCACATACACACACACACACTGGTGTCGCACAAACACAAATCATGTACACGAAGTCACCGTCCGTCCCCCCCCGCACTAGTTTCCATTCCTCCAGGTGTTGCAGACACACCCGACTGCTTTTGAGTTCTTTTAATTAAGAGCAAAGTGTGAAGATCCAAGTGAGCACACTCTGAATACACACACACACACACACACACACATATGGAGCACACGGATTCGCACAATCTCCAGCTGTCTGGAAAAACAGTGGAGGCTGGCAGCAAAGCAACAGGACAAACTGTACAAACTGTACTTTGCAAGAGCATACTTTCCTTCTGCAAGCTTTCATCCACAGACCGACAAAACAGCAACACCATCTGGGTTTGTGGTGCATTGTGTGTGCTGCCTCTGCAAGTCCTCTGCAAGTACTGCAGTACACATGCTCTCAGACGAACTGTATAGATACTGGGTGTGTGTATGTGAGTGTGGGAATGTGTATGTGTGTGTGACAAAGAGTGCTTGTATAAGTACATGTGTTCACGTATGTGTATATAGTAATTAACATGCTTTCTAATTTACATTTTGATCAAATCCTTACACACACACCACACACACACACACAATCATAGATCTGCATTGCACACTGTAATTAGTGGAATTCAACAGTGGGTGAAAACTGAAAGAGGTTAACAAGAAAAAATGAGGTCCAGAACATCAACTGCAGCCAGGGAACTGAATATTTAAATATTTCAGGAACTACTTCCAAGTGTGCGCTATTTTCAGACCTGATCCATAATTCAACATTAGCATTTTTCTCACAGAAATCTTAAAACTCTTAAGTCTGCTCAGAAAAATGTTTCTCTTTATCTCAGCTGAAAGTACTAAATTGAGTTTAGTAGGAATCCGATTTCTTTTTCTTACTCAAGAGATACAATTTGGTAACTTGACATAATGCTAGCTGCATCAACTTTCAGCTATGCAAACAAGTGACCGTTATCCAGGCAAGAAAACGGATATCTATATTATACAGAATAGAAAGATACAGGCAGCTATACAAAAGTGAGTGATATTTGATAAAAGGACACAATAGACAGTTCTACCCCTGCCAAGGTACTATTTTGTCTGAGAAACTCTCTCTTCCTGGCTCAAACAATTCAATCCTGCTGTGAATTAAAATGCATGTTGATGTTACTATGTCACCATATACAGTAAATATATCTGGAAAGTAGCAATGAAGGAAACATTTGATAACATCTAAAAACAAAGAGCTATTTACAACAAGTACCAGAATATTTGAAGTAATCAGTCATTTTCACAAAGTAAACTAGATTGTCCATATTTGTTTGAACTCTGGCTCTGGTTCAGTCCAGTTCAGCTTCAACAAGGCCCAGAGGCCTCTTCATGTGGTTAAAGAGCACATCAACACTCAATTAAATTAGAACGCCACTCGAAGAACACAGACCTCCACCAAGGCCAAATGCCCCATCTCGTAACGAAAGCGCAAAATAATAAGTCTATCCGCCCTGTCATTTGGATCTTCCTCGGCCCAGGCTACACCCTTCCACCAAGTTTCATGAAAATCAGGCCAGTAGTTTTCTGTAATCCTGCTGACAAACAGACAAACAAACCAAACTGAAAACATAACCTTCTTGAAAGCGATAAACATAAAGAGATTTTTCTGCACTGCTTTCTAAGACTTAAAACATGTAACTTCTGCTTACATGCATGCGTTATTGAAAACATAATCATGTGTTAAATTCTTTGTAAATGACACCAAATAAATTTATGCGGCGCCAAAAGGCACTCCTTTGTAAAACAAGAGCACTAGCCTTTCATGTAGATTCAATGTTGGCTACAATTATCGGAACAGTACAAACATTCAGGGTCTTCATGTGGCTCAAAGGTGTACGGCAGATATAGATATTGAATTAAAGACGATTAAAGAACGATTTGAACGATTAAAGTTCTGAAAATGTATTTGGCGACCCAAATAAGACAATATTTGGTAATGACTATGTTACAGGACGCTAATAAGCTCCATAGAGCTGAGAGGAACTGCAGTCAATTGATAATTCACAGGGTTCAAATGAGCAATTCATTTTATATAGTGTTGATAAAAAGGTATTGAATGGTGCAATTTTAAGGTTTAACTATCTTTTTAAGTCCCATATCAAAACAGAAGCCAATCTGTTTCTCTAATAAATTAAAACCTACTCTTGACCTTGGCTACCAGATGACCTGTCAGTGGACAGTAGCAGCCATATCAGACAGCAGGCAGGCAGGGGGGCTACGCTGCCTCTATATGCACCCTGAAGCCGGCAGCCTCAGGGACTCCTGGTAAATAGATTAACAGTGTGTGTGTGTGTGTGTGTGTGTGTGTGTGTGTGAGACCCCTGTCAGAGGCTCCTCCCACTCTTTCTGTCTCCCCCTTTTCTCTCTCTTTCCACCACTCTAATCCTTAAAACCTCTAAATCCTCCCTGCTCTCCCTGTGCCCTAGGTCCTGATTTCTTCTTCTGTCTATCTGGTGTGAAGGAACAAACTCCAGCCAATCGAATCCTTGTTTCGTGCCACCGATCAGAAAAGTGTTTGATAAATGTTAATAACAAATAATACAAAAGCCAGATGTCAGCTCAGTCAGCTCCAATAAATTCAAGGAGTACAACTACTACGGATAGTGTTTACTTGTGCTTTAGCTCTGCTTTAACATCAACACAAGAGGCTGCCTCCATTAACCACACCCGGCACTCCAACCTTAAGGCCCTGCGTTGCGCGTCCACTCCCGTCTGAAATGTCTACAACCTCGCTGCTGAGCGCATCAATATTTTACACATGATTTCTATATTTACATTTTGGAAACCTCAAAAGCTCCCATGGGTAGATGGGAACGTG